ATAATTAAATGAAAAGTAATAATTCCTATTTAATAAATTATATACAGAATACAAATAAATTGTTATTTTTCATCAGAATTACTGTATATACTTTATTTAAATTATAAAATATAAAAAATTTAATAGTAAATTAGCTGTATTATTATTTTTTAATAAATTTAAAAGTTTTATATAAATCTATTTCGTAAGTAAATGTAGATAATTACAATAAATAATTGTTTTTTAAAGTTTTCAAGATTTTGTTATCTGATCTAACGATAGATGGCAGCATTAATTTTGATCCTTTTTTTTAAAGTATACTTAAACAATATTAATTTTCATTATTAAAGATATATTAAAAATATAAAATTAAATTTATAAACAAATAAATATACCGTATATATAATATTTCAAAAATAATTTTTATAAATTATTTTTCATTTGTCTATTGAATAAACGTGCCAGTAGATGGCGCAATCGGATGAATTCGTTCGATTCGTCTGTTCATTAAAAAATAAAATAAATATTTAATTTATAATCTAATTAATAAAATGCAATTTTTAAATATTTTATTTATCAATATTAAAGATTTATTTATAATTTAACTTTAAAATGTTACTCATAAAAAAAAGAAGTTATATACGAGCTACCAACACCAGATGGCAGCATTAAGATAACATTAAAAATATATTTTATAAAATTAATATATGAATTATTAATTAATAAAATTAATGTTCAGAAGTATGAAATTAATCATTTAAACTGACACTAGATACGTTATTATATATTAAAACTTGTTTAAATTTCATTAATAAAACAAATAATTAATATATATATTTATACACGATATGGTAATTAAGTTATAAAAATAATGGTTTTTAGAAATAGGTTAATTAGTGATTAAAGTTCTATCTCTGACGTCATACATAGACAGGACCTGTTAATTCATCAGTAAAAGGATCCAATTGTTATACAAGAAACCTGCTGCCTCCTCTGACGTCATCCATTAGTAACGTCTTTCTTTAATTAATCACCGTTTAATTGATAAATGACGTGATTGGAGAATTTTATAAAAACAATTTAAAATAATTTATATAATTATTTACGGAATTACTACTACTTTGCTGTTTAATTTGCTTTATAAAGCTGGGTACACACGTACCGATATACCTGAATAAGCGCACCTGTCCTGTATACCTGAGCGTGTGGTTGACAGAACTGCCAGGTTTTTCGTTTTCTTTTTTTTTTTTAATTCACAATATTCAGGTATACCTGCCAGGTAGACTGGTATTGTACGTGTGTACCTGGCTTAACGCTTTTTTCGTGTAATTTTTTAAATATGTATATATACAATCGAATCTCCAATATTGGACACCTCTAAATACCAGCCATTTCCCTCCTCCAGGAACTTGAAAAAAAAAAACAAAATGCACACAAAATAACCTCCAAACAACGGCACTTTATATTCGCATCAGTGGCCGTTCTTCAGAAATTTGACCGCGTAAGTGAAACCTGTGTAAACCGGATTCGTACGATATCAAATATTTTTTCCGGTTTGGCGCGTTTCCGTTTTAAACAGGTTGTTTTTAACATGGAAAATAGCTCCGTTTCGACGAATTATTCTCGTTTAGGCAGGTTTCGTTTTATTTAAAGTTCCGCATTGGACAGGTTTAACTGTGCATATAACTTTTTTTTTTTTTTTTAATTTTAATAAAAATCTTCCTTGAGTTTTAATAATTAATTTTTTCTTTAATTTTTATTAATGACGGCTCTCATGCAACTTTCATTAACAGTAATTTCTCTTTAATTTTAAAATTAAAAAGGAATTTGATTTAATTTTTTAGAAAGTACAATTCTTAATGAATAAATAAAAATATTAATAGCGAATAATTAAATTAATTATTTAAAAATTCTTAAAAGGATGCGGTAAACAGCGTAAAAAAATAATTAAAAATTAGATTCATTTTTTCCCCCTCTTTAATTTCAAAAATATTTATTTAAAAAAATTGGTTAGAATTAAGTTTTTAAACAATTTTATGGAGTCCGGGTTACGCAGTAGAACTTGTTTAAACCGGACCCACACGGTACCGAATACAGTAGAAGCGGGATCTTAATAAAACGGAAACCTACCTAAAAGGGAAAAATTCTTAGAAACGCAGCGATTTTCTGTGTTAAAAAAACCTTTTTAAACCGGCAAAAATATTCAGTACCGTACGAATCCGGTTTACACAGGTTTCACTGTATTTTTTCTGGTTTAGCAGGTTTTTTTTTAACACAGAAAATCGCTGCGTTCTGAAGAATTCTTTAACGTTTAGGCAGGTTTTCCGTCTTAAAAAGGTTTTACTGTAAATTTTTCGTTACAAAGGGAAGACAGAATTTTAAAAATTAATAAATTATTCAGATAAAACATGAATAAGAAATTAATTTTATGTATTAAGTTGGAGTTAGATTAAACGTAAAGTATTTATAAATTTCCTAACAGATGAATTAAGGATGAAATATTATACATAACTAAATTAATTATANTAAATCCCCCTTTAGGGGTTTATTTTCTATTAATTTATTTTAGCTAAAATAGTCAATTAAACGCCATAAAAATTACATAGACAACTAAAAATAAACAAATATTTAATTGTGAAGTATCGTCAATAACATAAATTATACCAAATATAAAAGAAACCATGTAAAAGCGGTTAGAAACGGATCAGTCGCCTGCTGAGTGGCTTCTCCTTTAACCATATCTGTTATGCAGAGAAGCCTTATATGATCGCCCAGATGATAATATACTTAACTCATTAACCAAATCGTGTTGTCATGGAAACAATACAGAACTTCCTCCTCAACTGAGGAATTAATATCTGCGGAAGTATAATGAAGAATATATATTTTTTAATTATTTTCATCAGCAAAACAGAATGACGTACTTAATTGAAATATTTTTATAAAAGCAGTAAAAGATAATTGTAAATTTTTTTCCCCTGTTTCTACTTCTCCTCCTCCTCCTCTTCTGCATCTCTTCCAAATTGCATTATTATTATTTTTATTTTTTTCTGTTAATGAAAATAATACTTTCAGTTAAGTTCGAACGGAACAGTTGAATTTTCCTTTGTACAGTACAGTACATTACCATACTCCATATTTAAAAAAAAATAATAATAATTTCCTTAAAATATTCTTATAAATACATTATAAAAAATCTCGTAGCTTTTGGAATGTAAACGTAAGAAAATATTAAAAATAATTAAAAATGTATTAAAACAATGGCTCAGACATTATGTCAATATTTACCACGCGCTTATTAAGGAGTGTCACATTCTAATATTCTTCTTTACGTCGCTATGGCGACAAACGAATGGGTGGGTAAAAGGCGGGGTAGCAAAACACGTGAAAAATCACACACGTAGCTTTCTTTAACACAAGAGAAATTTCAAATTATGTCACGTGATTAGACGTACGATGACGTATCGCTCCGGCCTTTTAACGCTAACGCCCTCTCGTGACAACATTACAACTTAAACGTTTACTTTACTCACCTCGAAACCGGTAATGGGTCATATACGTTAGAACAGGGGGGAAAAAACATTAAATAAAACAGTATATAAAAGCCTCTTTTTGAATGGTTATTGTCTATATTTATAGATAAAAGAAGGGCATTATATATATAAATATATATATATCTATCTTTTTTTTAATATTTATCTGAAATTTTTCAAAAGTTTTACCCAAACTCTAAAAAGTTACCATTTTTCTAATACATTGATATCTAACCGTCTAAACTGACAGACTCGTATATATATCAGACAGAGCATATTGACAAGAAGATATTGAATTTAATAACAGTGGATATTTGATCTTGGGGGGGTGCAGATGTTTTATATTATTACAGCGGAGATTGTAGCAAAAGGGAAAAAGTAGGGAAGGGAAATTCGATCCGTCTGTTTCACCACCCCAACTTTTCTTGATGTCTAGCATCCCATAAGGATATCGTTACATAATTAGAAGGTCGGTATTATGTTATTCTTATAACATAAGCAATTATTGTGTCGTTGACGAGCAATGGCTTCCCAATTATGTTAGTTGTATGTGACACCATTTACAGTCCATAAATTTCCAGCTCCCCCCTTTAAAAAAATATCAGTAAAGATGAATTTAATTTAATTGAATAAATAAAATATCTCTCTGAATGAATAACATCTTTCTTCCTTACTCAGCTTTAGTTTACACTTAAATTGTTTTTATCTTATTGATTTTTTTTCCCATGTTTTTTAACTTAAACAAATTGAATAAATGTTATAATTCTTATCAGTCGAAGGAATTTTTGTTATATTTTTTCCTGTCTTTTAATCATTTTTCAAATAGTTAATTTACTTAAGTGATGATAATAAATATATTAAATGCCAATAAAATAAAATAAATTAAGTTCTGCTTATTTAAAGTACACTTGAAATCAGCCTTTCATAATTAAAGGCTAATGTAAATATAGTATCAGCCTTTAAAAAGGCATATTTATAGCCATAAAAAGTTTNCGAAAAATATTTATTTTTATTTCGAGAAGAGTAAGACAGTTAGAGGCTTTTTATACCACAGAATCATTATATAATTATTATTTTAAGGCCTTCTTTTATTAAAGACCGATTTAAGAATAAGATTGCTCTGACGTTCTGCTTACAGAAACACACTCGAAATTTGATTTTTTTTCTCTCTCTCTTCTCTAGTTTCGTAAGCTTCTTGTCGTTTACACGGAAAAAAAAAGAAAATTTACGGAATTAATTAATTAAAAGTCCTATAAACCAAGTTCGTTTAGTACAATATACATACATTGAACATTATTATTCTTCAACTCACGGCTACAGAACAAAGGATAATCTGTCTATGTCCATATTTGTCATCGAGTCGAGATTTTCGGTGACATCGCGATTTATGTTTTATATACGTGCTGTACATTTTGTATTATTATCATTGTCACTTTTATTTATTTGTTTCTATTTATTTATTTTTTCCTCTTTCTTTCTTTTACTTTCCATCACTAAGGGAATCCGGACTTCCATATCCACTTGAAAGATCATCGTGAGAAAAAGGCGACAAATTTTCAGTCTGTCTCTTTATGTGATCCAAGCTACTTGTATCATACGGTAAATGAGCGAATAAAACACGTTCCCCGTAATCGTATTCGCATAAAACTTTGTTGTCGTATAAATAAAATCTATCACCGACACAAAACCTGAAAATTTTATAAGAATAAATCTCAATGACGTTAATTCTAGCGAAGAGAAATGAAGTATGAATGTAGTAATAAGGTAGAGTACCACTTCAAAATCACGTTTGAGTGGCGGAAAATGATTAATTTTCATCACGTAATTTGCTTACCTGTGATTGCACTGCTGACAAGCGAAACATTCCAGATGGTAGACGTTACCTCGAGCCCTCATAACCATTTCGAAAGCTGGAATTGTTTTGTTGCAGGCCGAACATAAACCTGTTGTGCCGAAGAGTCTAAGGGAATATGTTAGAAAAAAATCGTATTTTAAGGCTCGTTAGCTTTCTTCTTTAGACACAATCGGCTATTAACTCACCTGAGATAATCCCTCTTACAGAGAATAAGATTAGCTTTTGTAAAAAGAGTCGAACCGACCTCGCCAAGTCTGCAATCACAACAGGCACACTTGAGGCAATCTTCGTGCCATAATTGATCTAAAGCCTTCAATAGATACCTCTCACGTATTGGTTTCTGACAACCAGAACATTCCGGTGTTGGGCTACCAGTAGCTGCTGATAACTCAGTCCTGGTGGGCTCCAGCGAACATGTCCTCATGTCCATTATTGGGCCATCTGGTATCAATAAAGATCTGCAACGAGTGAAGGAAACGAAGCAATTAAACGTAAACATAAAAAAAAAAAGGAAAAAAAAGACAGCATCGTTAGAAACGTTTAGAAACTTTGAAGAAATAATTAAAAATACTCCTGTCTAGTAATTCTGCGTGGTTATTTTATTGCTACTAATTAAAACTCGTGACGTATAACTAAGAGAAACAATGCAACATTGCCATTCTAGTATAAATCCCAGATAAATATTCCCAGCATGCCTAGCGATGTCGCACTTCACCCCAAGGGGTCGGCTGTTGAGCTGCACCCGACATTGACAGACAGAGCCATCTATCCCGCCAGCCGTTTTAATCAAGGTGTCAGCTGAGGCGGAAAAGTGAAGCTAGCAAATCACTAGTTGGGCTGGGACAAAGTGTACTTGACACACCAATTTTGTTGCGGCTTCAGTCAACTTCATACCGTGTACACACCAGCACATATATACGTTCCTCGAATTATTTTTTTTTCCTTTTTTTTTCGTTATTAAACTAATCAACAAACAGGGCGCGCGTAAGTACATCCGCCTGCAAGATTCTAAATAATTTCAATTTCAGGAATCTCGCTCACACGCCGCCATTAAAATCGAGTTACGAAATCTTTAAACACCAGAATTTAAAATAAAATAAGAAAAAAAAATTGCCTTACACCGACGTAATTCCTTATCACTAACCGAAATCCCAATCCTTCTTTCTTGAATGCCTCTTAAACAAACATTGGAACGTAAGAGTCATTAGTAGGTGGATGGCATTGAGTAAAGTGGCGAATCGTGTTTGCAGAGCGTGGCGCAAAAAGAAGTTAAGCAAAAAAAAAAAAGGAAAAAAAAGAAAAAAAATAAATTGTCGCCTTTATATCAGTGGGTATTAGGAAGCCGAAAATCCGCCCAAAGTAAGAGGGGCAAAGACGGAATTCGGCGTGGAAATGAATTGCCCTCATAACGTATCGCCGTGCTCTGGGGTCCAAGAGTGCAAAGCTGATTTATCGTGGAAGGCGAGATTGCTTGTTTAAGCAGCTTAGTCTGGCCACTATTTCACGCTAGGACCTCTTATCTAGGACGTAAATGGAACGCCAGGTCTGTCATTAGAGAGACTGGCGTCCGCCGGAGATTGGAAATCGTCGACTGAGCAAATAACGGCAAAGCTGAGCCGTTGTGCCAAGCCCGGGGCTTCTTCTCCTTCTAGCTTCTATCACTCGTTATTATTTATTTAGCTGTAGGCCGTCAGACCAACGTCTCGAACAGCTAAACCCGATTCGCCAAATTTACACCACACCATTTCTTTCTTTCTTTCTTTCTCTCTCTCTCTCTCTGTAAAATTTTATGAAATTCTAAATTTAAAATAATATTATTATTTTCATAATTTATATAATTTAAATTACACATTCAAATTTTATTATAAATGAACCTTGATTCAAACTGGATCTACCTCTACCTTGTTCTAATAAGAAATTCCAATTGTTTCAATGTTGATTCGGAGTCGAATTTTCAATAAAGATATAAAAAAATTTTAATATATATATTTTTTCATGTATTCGAGTGAAAATTTTGGTTTAAAATATATTTTGAAGTGCCTCAAAATTTTCATAAATTCAAAAAAATAAATAAAATTTAATATTTTATTTATTTATTGTTTTAGATTTAAAAATTTTTAAAAAAACAATTTTCAGAATTCAAAATTTAAATTGTATTTTTCTGAATTTTGATTTAAATCTCTCGAATTTCCAAATTTAAATATCCAATTTTTAGAATTTCCACATTTTAATTAGATTTAAACCAAATTAGATTACTAAATTTTGATTAGAAAATTTGTTTTTTTTTCCTTTTCTTTTTTAGATTTATTTTATTTTTCCCCCCCAAATAAAACACAAAAATAATTATGTTTTTTCTTTACATTTAGAAAGTTAATTTTCATTAAATAACGCTTCATTTCAAATTAATTAAAATAAAAATAAAACGAATGCAAATTAGTTCTACTCATCAATTTATTTATTTATTTATTTATTTTATTTTTTAATTATATAAAAAGGCATTAAATTTTCTAACAATTTTCCCTTAAAATAAAATAAGATTTAAAAATAAGAATTCGAATTAATTTTATAATTTTAAATTAATTAATTAAAAAAAATTAAACGAGCGAAAATTAGTTGTACTCATCAATTAAACTATGTAAAAAAATTTTTTAAATAAAGAGAAACAATGCANACATAATAAATTCAATTAACATGGAATATTTATAGAATATTTTAAAGCATTTGGTATGTAATTTAATCAAGAAAAGCTGCAGCTGTTTAATCTTTTTAAACATGTACTTTATTTATCAACGTTAATAGATTCAATAGTTAAGATAATTATATAAACAGCTGTTATTTATTATATGAGTAGTGCTTGTTCTCCAATCTAAATTAAGGAAGACTACTTTCATAAAATGATAATTAAAGTTATATTGAAGTAACTTTTTCTTTCTAAGTAATTATTTTATCTTACCCAATAATCGTTTTCTTTTTTGCAGATGAGATGAAAGAATGGCCACGGCGCGGTTGTGTACTGCATTATTGCGCCGACATCTAACTCAGGTTGTGAAGACTGCGCTTCTTTTATTTATAGTCTCTTTCTTATGGCTGCAGCTACGAATAGTTAGTTACAAACCAGATTTCTTGTACCGCAATGCAAAATACGGAGAATTGGATAGTGCTTTCTTTGCGAATTTTAGTGCAATCATAAACTCTGTTAATCATACTATGCCATCCTCATTATATGAATTAAAAAAAATAATACAAGAAATAAATAAAGAACAAAAAGTTTTAAATATACAGAAATTTGGACCTTTGCTGTATAAAGATGTTGTTATCGTTGTTCAAGTTCATAATAGAGGACAGTATCTGTATGCTCTTATCGAATCGTTACGACAGGCCGAAGGAATCGGACAGACTTTATTAATATTTAGTCACGATTTATTCGATCCCGAGATCAATGCTTTAATTCAACAGATCGATTTTTGTAAGGTAAGTATTATATACAAATTTCTATATAATATAAAATTACTAATGATAATAAGTAAATTTGATGATGACTTAAATATATATTCCAATTAAAGTTTTAACAACTAAAATAAATTCTAAAAATGCAAATTTTTTTTTAAATATGTGATAACCATTGTGAATTGATGGTACGTAAGTGCAGAGTAGGTTAGAACATTAGGGATTTTTTCATTTTGGCATGAAAACATAGAAATAAACGAGAAGTAAAATTACATTATAGAAAAATTAATGTCATATTTAATTTAAAAAGTTAAGTCACTATTTTTAATGCTAAGAGTTGTTCATGAATTTGGAAATAAGAAATTTTCCTGTTTAGTGCTTTTGAAAAATATAAAAATCCAGAAGTTTTAATTTGAGGGGAAAAAAAATCAGTTTTTAATTCAATTTAAAAATATTTCTTTCAATTTAATTTTAAGTTATTTTTTTATTTCATAATTAAAGCATTGTAAACTCTTAACATCTAGCATTCTAATCTATTAAAGTACGATAATTGAAAGTTTTTGATGACGAAGCAATTTATAGTTTTAAAAATTTTTATCCTATTAAAAACATTTTATGATGTCCTTTTTAAAGGCTAAATTAGTTTATATTTTTAATAATAAAAAGTAATTTTTTCTATACTAAAATTGATTTTGTTTTTGTTGAATTTTGTATTTAAAATTATTTCTCAATGTGTTCTTATATTGTTTAGGAGTTTTAAAGTTATTTTGATCTATCATTTGATACATTTTTCAAGAATATATTTTTGATTACTTATAACCATTTAGCTTTTGACACAGTGAGAGAAACTTCTATAGGAGGTGAAGTAGATTACAATTGCTATAAGGTGAACTCTATATAATGCAATTGTTTTCAGAGTTCATAGAGTTTATCCTCTTATAGAGTAGGTCGTGAGATATATTAATGATTAACTTGACATAAAGATCAGTTGTATGAACTCTATATAGCTGGTTCTTTACAACTATGTAGATCATATGGTGATGAATTAATATATGTATACAGTATATATATATATATATATATATAATTCACATCTTTTTATTTGCTGTTTCCAACCAAGCAAACTATACCCTAACTAGATTGCATGTAAAAGTGCTTCATAGCAGCACTCAGATGACGTTAAGAACTTGGCGCTTTTAAACCCATATCTCTGCTTTTAGTAGATCTATAATGGCCTCTTAGGCTATACTCTGAGCATGTCATGAGATAAAATTGCCCTATATTGAGACGGTACTCAGTTTACCCTGTCACGAAAGCTATATAAACTACCTTTACTGAGAAGAGAGAGAGAGAGAAAAAAAAAAGAATAAAAAAATATATAAAAAAATGAAAGAAATGCCTGTTTCAAATTTAGTTTCGGTTTTTCAGTTCAATGAATTCCTTACAATAATTTCTATATAGAAAGGTTTAAAGTAATTGTACAATTCGTTGGATCGAAGTGCATTCTCGCTTTATGGATAGAAATTGCTTACCCCCTATCTACACAGATATGACAGGATGGGAATGGTAGGATTATTGAGGACTTAGAGCAAATAGAATTCAAAGCCACTAGTCCCTTACGCTGGAAATCTCATATTCACGCCATGTGGGCCATTACTGCTGACGCGAAACGTTTCTCAGCCGTGCGAAGGGAGAAAGCAAGTGAAGTGGAAAGCTATCATCGTTTAGAAGTATTGGCCCGAAATGATGGCTGACGGATTGGCTGCACGATCGCCTATGAGTCTATAACACTCTTAGCGATGTAACTTATCGAAGATGTTACACGGCTGTAAAAAAAAAGAGGAGGAGGAGGAGGAAAGGCTCCCGCTATACCCATCTACCACCTTTCTGAAACATTAAAGTGGTGCTACCTTAGCGACAAAAGTAAAGCGCTGTTATATTTTCTTCTTCTTACCAAATAAAATGCTGCTACCGGAATAACAAAGTAAATATTAAATATTTATTTTTATATCCACTTGCTATTATAGTAACAAATGACGTGATTAAATAATTTTTGTACTCGCCGAATTAGGTTGGGATGTGTAATATTTTTAAAAAATAATTTTAAACGTATGATAATTTTTTTAAAAAAAGAACAAAAATACACGAAATTTAATGCTATCCTGGTGAGGGAAATAATTTAAAATGGATACATAAAATCGAAATTTATATATTTGCTCCTATTAAAACGTATAAAATTATAAATATATAAACGTATTTTCGTGATTATTAACAATATTTCCTCTTATTGTAGCCATTCGACTAAATATTCATGAAGGCAAAAAGCATGGTCTTAATTAGTATTATTCAATTTACATTAAAATTATAGGCTAAGTATAATAGTCAAGGAACTAAAGAGGGGGAACCCATTAATGGGATATTGAAGTAACAATTACACGTGAGGCGATATAATTCAGTTTTGCCATAAGGCAAAACTATTGATTTATTTACTGCCACAGTTAACAAAAGAAGTGCGTGATTCAAGATATTAAAATGATGCTTATTATAATAGGATACGAGATGCTCTTGCAGTCATAAAATGCAAATCGATGAAGCATAGAAAAATATCGACAGAAATTTTATTTGGCTAACACATTATTCCCGTAATAAATGACATATTTGATATCATTGTTACTGCTTTAGTAACAAAATTAGACGTGGCGAACGGAGTAACAAACGTGGATAAACAAAGTTTAGAGTAGTGTATAAGATCCAGTGTGACGTAGAAGAGAAAGAAAGAAAGGCACGTGATTACTGTTACGGTAACGATAAAGAAGTATCAGAA